CACCTCGCTCGAAACTGCAGGTGCTCGAATACCGTGCAGTTATAGTCAGTCAAATTGACCTCCCCTAGGCAACTATGAGCAAGAGGCTGATACAATATGCAGTGAAATAGTCTTGAAGGAATCATCTGTTATTTGATATGCCTACGTTTAGAAACAGCTTTGAAATTCATGAAGTAGCATATAAGCAGTACTAGTCACTGAAACATCGTTCCTCATGAACGTGACATGACTATAACTGACAAAATGATGCGCAGTGCAAATGGTATTACGGATGTTCAAATACCATGGAGCCATGGGTTGATTAAGGCACCTCTAGGTAAACTGAAGCAAATGAACCATACAATGCGCCATGAAATCGTAACTTCGAGAAATAAATAGTTATTTGACAGTCAGGCACACAATTACTACAGCGAAACTCATTGACACATAAAAATTGAAAACTTTTTCTCGCTTACCATCGTAGCTACGTCTTCTTTGTAATCCGCTTAAACCGAAATGTAGATGAAATCATCTCCTTGTTCCGAGGGGATTCTTGTTATAACACCTGGATTAACAGATACATTTCGCATAATCTGTGTTGATAGGTGTTACTCGCATATAGTCTGGCTTACAATATATAAAACTATGCCACAATTTAAATCCAGGTTCACTGGTGTCGAACTTTCATGGATTTTTCCTAATGAGTTATTTAAAGTAAATCCAAGCTTCACAACCACACAGCTGCAGATTAGCCTACGTGCATCTCGCTATGAGCAAACTGTCTAATTGCTTGATGGGTATTCCGTGAAAACAGTAATGAAATGCAACAACCACTGTAGGAAATATGGCGATGTCAGATCGTAAATTACCGAACCTGCAGCAAGGCGTAGAATGACTATCGACCCAGAAATGTCATGAAGTAACGAACAGTTTTTTCAATCTCGCAAATTAACTGACTGCAGATGCATAGACGCACTGTAGGTGGCTAAGCACAGTGGGGCCATGGCCCGATGAAATGTTTGTATGGTATCGAGATACAACAGGTGAGGCTATAACGTTATTACATGTCAGAAATTTATGGATGTGTTAATGCACGTGCAGCATAAACCGGTTTTATAAAAAAATGTTTCACAAACGTAATATTAAACTCTGTCGATGCCTGTCCTAAATCCCAGTGTGAACGATGAGGAGTGCGGACCTTGGCGAGGTTTCCCATAAAGTTTAGCCACCGTAAAAACTCAGCCCTCACGATCGTCGCGCGAGTAAGCAAAGGCCGTGCAGGCTATTTGAGAACTGAGGCAGACGTGATCCGTATCTGCTCAACACCTGCTGAAGGATATACGATTGGCAGCATGGCGACGGCTTCTGAAGATCTAGAAAAGTCAGAAACGGTGCCATCACTCGTTCTGAGCAAAGGCGATGTCAATATAGCAAGTTAGCTAAGGCCCCACTAGAACGATACCGACTGCAGTGGCTCAAAGACAGAAATTGGAACATATCCTCACTCAGAAGAAGAGAACAAGAACCAGTGAATAAGTGCGAAAGGTACAGACTGGACACAACTATTCTGTAGCAAACGAAACACCAGGGCTCTGCAATTCTGAACGGTCTACAGATGGAAGATAGTCAACCCAGGTGCCCAACTTCAAGAGCTGCGCTCAGGCACGCGTTGGTGTTCTAGCAGAATCTAACCTGGCCGAAAGAATCTCTGAATAGAAGCCCTTGGGCATAAGAGTGATCATCCTCCAACTGAAGCTAAAACAGGTTAAAGCTTTTTTCTCTGCTGCAGGTCTATGAACCTAATTCAGGGGGAGAACATGAATCTTCCCTGGAGAAAGAAGAACGTGCTCTGTGCGACGTACCAGCTTAAGAATCCAACAATCTGGTGGCTGATTTCAATGCGCACTGAAAACTGAAAAGACAGAGTGGAAAAAAACGGCCCTAGTGACCTCAACATCAGCGACATGAAGTTGTTGCGATTCTGTGGCAATTAATCAACACTAATGCATCGGTTCGTGTCTGACTGTCTTCTTTAAGATGGGTAACATCGATTTCCAAATCTTTTTCTGTGGTCCGCTGCCGTTGTAACATTTGGAGACAAAAGGTAGTTTCTATTCTGTGCTGCGGTTACGCAGATTTTCTTGTACAGGCGCTGCAAGACCTATCGAATTTGTGCTGCAAGACTCTTATCTATGACTCCGGTCTTACATTATCACTAGACTGGATAATTAACACATCTTTGACGGGTCCGGTCTTTCAGCTTCTTCCTTTGATTATACCAGTGCAATATGACATTTTGGATGTGAAGATGCATATTTGAATACAAAAAACTTTAATGAATAATTTGCACATATGTACTCTGTAGTTTGGAAATAAGAATATATAATATATAGTGCATTTCGAGAGAAAAATAACAGACTGGAAGACTGCGCAAAGGAATATCTCATGGAATTCACGAAGCTCCGTTCCTTGAGTCAGAAAAAGGTGGCTACATTCAAAACTTAGGCAACAATCAGGTCATATTCACGAATGAAAGTAGTACAGAGAGCTTTCGAATGTCATCATATCCCTTTGACAAATAAACTTAAAAATGAATATTTACTTAATTCAGAGTGAGAAAACACCTATCAATTACAGTATCTTTGAACGTTAAGTACTGTCGCTTGAATCGGTTATAGTATCAGATCAATTAACTGATCTAAACCATTCGCCATCATTTCTCGTCTTCTTTTGGTTGCTGAATCAAGTCTTCCTGCACCGGCATTCAACAGTCTATTTCTGTGGTGATTTGGCGCTAGTCGGTCTTCGTACGCACTACGTCCATGGATACCATAATCGTCTGGTCTTTCCAGATACGGACGAACACGAGGCAAAGGATAATCTAACGGAGGAAGCGGAGGTGGACGACGACGATAGAGCATGGGTTCGTATACGCCGTAGTCAATGACATCAAAATACCGACGAGTCCTCGACTTTGCTTTGCCTAAGTCGAGACCTGAAACAAGGCTGTTTGAGACATTGTTGTCAGATTTGAGTCATTCAGCCTACCACTTGCTGCGAAGATGCAGACACAGCCACAAATCAGGAATCTAGTAGCTTCGCGATGACACTTTGTCATTGTTGCCTCTAGTTTTGGGACGAAGAAATGCAGATTCGTCCTCGACCGTATCGCTTTAATGTTTGAAATTTCACGTTATGACTTATTCATTCCGAAAGGAGGTCGACCAAAATAGAGAACAGGTCTTCTGATTTGGAAAAAAACTTGAGCAACCAGTTCATATCAATCGTCGCGTGGTCGTTGTTTTGGCTGGAGATGCGGCAAACGTTTCGGTCGTCTGAAAGTCATGTACGGAATGACGTATTCCGTTTGTGGTAGAAATCAAATCATAGAAATCACGTGCCTGACAAACCGGCAGTATCTAGTCGTTAACTCGAAAAAGTCTGCGCTAATCATTGAAGAACCGGCTGATCTAACGGTACCTATAGATGTTACGGTGTTTTCGACTAGTGGCGTCGCTGATGTTACCCACACTTGATTAACGGACCGTATTTATTAAATACAATTAACTTTGCAGATTTTCAAAACCTGT